TGTTTACCAAGTGACCCAAAGAGTGACTTCCACATAGGAGGGTTAACGAATAAAAAGACTGAACCACAATTTGAATTTGGAAACACTCTGTTGATGAGCTCAATCAGAAAGTATATACGATGTAAAGCAACCATTCCAGAATACTTCAACCACATACATATCAAGCTTATGATAAAGTAATCAAAATAATTAATTCTCAAAACGTGTACCTACCAACAATATTTAACTTGCAGAGGGGACATGTGCGTTTGTTGATTAACCACAAATCCACACACTTGCAATGGAATTGATGATAGCATGGCAACACTCTGATCATCTGGACAAAGAAAAGTTGTCAACATACAGACTTCAAAGTATACTTTCTACAAACAATCCTGTATGGTACACCCCCCCAATCTACTTGGGGACAATCTTATAGAATGCCTTCTGCACTCAACCAGTTATTTCATCACTTTAAGACTTAATTTTCACCAAGATGAGCAAATAAAATGGGCCTAACAAGAACATATACATGTATCTCCACCTTCAACTTCAAGTCCCCTGCCTCCTTTTACAAATGCTTCATCTGCCACTGATTTTAGATACTATTCTCAACAAACTCTCTGCAGCTTCTCAACCAAACCAAAGACCTTGTCCTACAATCCTTTCTTCAAACTGTGCAACTCTACATACATACATGTACATATATACGCGAAAATGTGCCACGTTACCAATTGCATACGTACCTTCCCTGGTATAAAGTCCTCCAGGCATATTGCACAGTTTTCCTTCTCCCTACTCAATACATAACGTTTCCTCTTGTACCTCCTTGCTGGCATCTTGGAGAGGGATGATTTAGCAAGTCGTTGTAAACAGCTCTGCTTTGAACAAAAATCAAAAAGATCATCTGATATGGCAATGGATAGCTACAGCATAGGCCATTAAGATGACAATGATTCAAGATACGTTAATCATTGGCAATCAATCACTCAAACATACATCTGGTTCAGTGCCTTGCCCTGCTTAATTTAACATCAAATTTTCTTCTTGTTTCAGACTAAAAAAGAGATATGGTACGTAAGCAATTACTAACATCAGATTTGACTTTACTGACCTCAGACAAGCTTGCACAAAACCAGATTAAAGTTGGGGTTGCCACTTTAATGTGTTAAGATGTTAGAATTGTTGAAAGTCAGCCCGATTTAAATCATTACAGCTAACGATTTTTGTCTGTTAGTTTCCTGCTTGTATCTGATAGGTACTGTTTTCACCTCCATATCGTCACTGTATTCCTGCTCTCCCCACGTGATCCACTTTCCATGAAGAACAAAAAGTAAACAAACTGTGCCAACTATTGACAAAAAAGTTGTCCAAAAGCTTGGAGAAATCTGAAATCAAACAAAAGAATTTACTGACTTCATTAGTCAATTTTACATTAGATATCAAATCTGTGTATGTTTCGACAGTCACACTGGTACATAGTAGATCAAGGAAAGTTGAAATACTCACTTTTGACTGTCCATGCCCTGATCCGAGGCACACAACCCCTTCCCATTCTTTGTATGTCCCTCCATTTGAACGGCCACAGGTAGACCAGAGAGTTAGCCTGGCTGTGCTCTGTGGAAAGATCAATAAATGAATGGTCAAACTTTATCTCACCATTACTAAGATATGTTAGTTTATAAAAATTCTGAAATATCTCTTTACCCAGTAATATGACTGTGGCTTGGTAACTTCATTTATCTTGACGCTCACTCTTGATTTTCTGTGGGATGAAGCAGAAGTGTTTTCTTATCCAGCAAGTTTGTTTCAAACAAAAGAACATACATGTAACAAAGAAACTTCAAATTCAGTTCCACTCTTGAGCACTGAACAGCAACATGACGTAGATGTACAACAGTTTTGTTTTACATGCAGGTTGATTTTGTACCAAAGAGACCATGTTAACTCACCCTTGCACTACTTTGCACATCTTAGATATGCCCACAGCTTCTTGAATCACAATAACTGGTTGTTTGAAGAGCTGTTCAACATCCAACTAACAAGGCACAAACAAAAGCCATAGAAAACAGTTTATATACAAATATGTGTGCATACCATCACGATGACTAAGATTCCTCAGCTTTTTACAAATTTAAAGTACTTCTTTCTTGCTTGTGATAACATCTCATCTCTCCTTCCTTCCTCGTGACATGCATTTGTTGAATTTGACATCCCTTACAAATTTATACCTAGGATATTCTTGGTCACCTCGTACTACTCAGACCCTACAAAAAAGATAGAGTACACAGGAGCAATGTGTATTCAAACAATCATCTAAATCTGTTGTAATTTAATGTACAACAACAGTGGTATCTGACTTTCTGAAGCAAAGACACATTTCTGCATATTTCTACCTCTTTGAGCAGGGCTGGATTCATCGCAAGGACTATCAGAGCTGAGGCACCAAACAGCATAGCATTCTTGACCTATTAAGGAACACAAATTGCTCAAATTATACCCCCAAATTTCTTACTCTTAGTTGTAATTCCTGGATCTCAATGTCATAAATAAGTGACCTTACACTTTCAATGGGACATCAAATGACAATCTTGAGAAAACAGGACAAGGGAAAACATAGAAAAAGCCACACTGTCAACTAAAGGTGCTCAAACTTGCAGCACAGATGACAGGAAATGACATGAATGTGAGTATAAGAAATACTGCTACTTTGCAATTTCATAATTGAGGATATATTCATATCACACAATTGAAGCACTGGGTTCAGATATAAAATAAATATAAGTCCACCGCAAGTCATCCAGTGCTCACATGTCAACTCACAAGCTGTTGAAATGAGCGCTGACTTAAGTGTTCCTTTATTTTTTACCCTGTTACGTATGACTGGTCTCGATAGGGAAGGACAAGGACTTAGGATGGAAACGTCTACACTGGAAATTAGTCTGGGATAAGAGCTAGGGACAGTCCACAATGAGCAGAAGCACCCCCTCATCGGTGGAAAAGAGCCATGTTGGCATGGTTGGTAGGGAGTGCTCATGCTGTTAGTTGCGATGCAACTATAACACATGTATGCATTTCACACATATAGCCATTGGTGAACCAGCAAAGTACAGTTCTCACCAAAGGAGCCTCCATTGCTCAGAGCTGTTTATAAAGAGGCTTTGCGACATGAGTGTCAGTACCCGCTGCTTCACCTGACTCGGACCAGCCAGCCAACCCCGGCAAGCTTGGTGGTCGAGTGGTTAAGACGTCTGCACTAGTAAGACGTCTGCACTAAGCAGGCGTTCATGGATCCGAGTCCCATCCGAGTAAGCTTGTGACTTTTTTCGCAAGCTCTCGGACAAGCACTGAGCATACAGCGTTTATTAATATATACGTTGGATAAGGGCAAAACCCGTTATATAAATCGAGTGTCTCAATTGTTGGAACCAAAATGGTAGATTATGCAACAGTGCACATGGACAATTAGCACACAATAACTGCATGCTGTACTGCACCCATAATAGAGCTACGCAATCATACCTATGAAGCCAAACCACGGTTCACAACCATGCACAATACATGACATCTAGGTGCTCAACCAATCATAAAAACTTCACATGAAATTAGGCTCCTATAACATAAGGGATTTATTTTCCTTAAAAAAAACCTCCTTGTCCACAATTTTGACCCAGGAGTTGAACCCACACCCCATTCATCACAAACCATTATGCTGTCACCACTTGACTACTGCAATTCACACAAGTTAGCGGTGTTTTTACTGTTGATATACCGATGAACGGCTGCAACGCAAGTCTAATACACATTGGGCATGCGCAATACAAACGCAACCATCGTGGTTTGGCTTTATACGTATGATTGCATTATCTCCATAATAGTCATGTTAATTCTAAAGTCTGAAGTTGGCACTACTTTCCTGATATACAGCTCTGTCATTGCTTGCAAAATTTTACCCTATCTAGATCCTGCTCTGGGCGGATACATGTACATGTAATTGGCAAGTGCAAGATTTCCTCACACATCGTACCTGATCAATAAGTGAACATTTAGTTGGTTTGGAGCTAATATGTTCTTTCATAGTTTCTTCCACTGACGGTAGATAAATAAGTCCAATCCAATCCTTAGAATCAATAGGACCAGTGAGTGGTTGAGTTGACTTCGTGCAGTTCCCTGAAAGCTGGGAAAAAACAGAAATTAGACATCAGAAAAGACTGCCTGGGATCATAGACTACTGAGCGTCTCACATAAATTCAGCTAAGTCAATACAGTCATCATATGTATGTACATGGCCAGGACCCTACAAACTGCTCATACATGTATACATGGGCTTGGTTCCAGCCAAGAATTCCTGTTTTGTTGAAATTTTTTCAATGAGGTTTTCAAAAACAGAAATAAATTTGATAATGAACTGGAAGAGCAGCTACCAAGTCTACCTTGGCCATCTTTTACAGGTTTCGAATTCAATGGGCCACTTGAATGCACCAGGCAACTTCCACGATGTACTAGTAATATGTACAGTATGCAGTCTCCTCGCTCCGGCACCCCAACCACCAAGAACTTTGAATATGAAAATTGACAGATCTAGGAAAGAGTTCCATACAAGGATGCCAGTAACTATTACAGTGACCTAATATAATAAATAGCCATCTGAGAGCAAAACCATGTCCAGAGAAGTTCAATCTAGCACTACATGTAAGCGCAGGAGCCTTGCAAATACCACATCACATGGGTGATTTTGCACAATGGTAGAAAGGTATTGTGGGAAGGAAAAGGGAGCAAACATTCACCATCATCACCATCCTCATACCATTCAGCCCCCATTAAAGGGGCCCGGCGCGCCCAGCTGTAGCAATGGGCCAAGGTGCTGGAGTCAGGGACTGCCTGGGCCAAATAAGTCCTCTCCAGGCCTACTTACTCCTGACCTCTCCCTCTACAGACACAGCGCCGCCGATTTTACCGAAGTGGCCTCTGATCTCTACTGCAGCTTCACTGCCTTCTTGCATCAAAATGACTGCCCCATTTTCTCCTACAACACCTTGCACTAACAGTGCAGCAAGTAAAGCGAATTTCACCATGATAGGATTCTGATTTCGATGACGTTTCGACAAAATTTCACAAGCAATCATGACAATCTTTCACTTGTACTAGCGCAGCTGTCACGTAGGCCTAGCTCTAGCTCCTTGCATATCTCTGCAGCTGATATAAACAACGGCCGTTTCGTGTTTTATTGCACATGTATCAGAGAACGGTTACCCAGTTATATGACGCGGTTTAGCAGAGTTGCGCCGCGGGCATGGCAGCTAGTGAACACGCAGGGGTGGGGGGGGTTGATTAGAGACTTACTTCCTCCATGGTCAAAGTTTAGTTTCGCGAGGAAGTTGTTGTACAACCTTCCATTTTTCCTGCAAATTTTATGGGCGGTGCGGTGGAATTCAATATTACAAATAAAATGTCATTTGCTGCAAAAAAGACCGTGACAACGGATGACGGTTCAGAAAAACTCAGCATCAACATTTTGTAGGACTCTTCGACAGAAATAGTCTAATAAAGACTAATGATAGTAAAAAAACCAAAGCATCACAAGATTGGGCCTAAAATAGTAAAGACTTTAATCAGGCATAAAATGATGAATTAATATTCACAGAGAAACCTTGACGTCCAATCAGCCGTGGATCCGGGGGTTAACCCCCCCCCCTCTAAAAAAGGGGAGGGGGTAAAGAAAATGGGGGAAATAATAAAAACAACCAGAGTAAGTGCACCGATACCATTGTAAACAATGTGCGTCATGTTATGTTTCATCATTGTTTCCCGGCGCTCAGTTGTCTGCAAAAAATCTCCGACCTGACCTCCCCCCGGAAAACTCCTGGATCTGCCCCTAATTGATGATGGTGTGTGTCTTTAAATTAGAATATCCTGTTCATTAACAATACGTTAATATTTGTAATTATGATAAACACCTTCAATCTTTGTAAATGTAAAAAGGGACTAAATTAAATGTTCTGACTTTATATAGGTGAACAATTATGATTGTCGCTGATTACGCGCAAAATAATTTGTTTTCGTCTTTATTTACTCTTGCGAGTTATCGTTAAGTTTCTCCAAAGGATCTCGTAATTTTGAAACAGTGTTCACTGTGAAGATTGAGTATACTAAGCAGGCCTGCTCTTTGCCAAATTTTGTTTAATTTAATTCTTATATTTTCTAATAAAACGTCAGCTATAACAATATCACCACCGTACTCTGACAAGAATTTTCGTTGGATTCATCGAGAAGAAAACTGTGACTCTAATCTGACTTGAATGACAACTAATCAACTACCTTCAATATGATTGGAATTTTCGCCGTAAAGAAGTGAATTTTTTATTATGACCCGGCTTCCCAGCACCGTGATTCACACGCCCACCACTTGACCACTGCAAAAACTACGAGACAGCTGACCTATCAATGTGAAAACTGTAGAGGGCGCACTATACAAAATTTGACTTTACACTGCGCGGCGCGGGCCGGCGCTATACATGTACAATCTTTGCTTTATAAAATCTATATATAGGCAACGTTATTCGTTTCCATAGAAATTGTATAGGCCTGCAATCATTGATGACAAAACGGATTTGAGGTACCTCATAGACCTAGAGAGGTCTATGGGCGGATAGAGGGGGATTAGGAACTGCCGATATCAACAAAGAGTAGATCAGCACAAGTGATCCAAGCCACGCGAACTGAAACTTAAGTTGTTAACCACCGTCGCCAGTTTTGATTTCCCCAGGCGCGGGAGGCTTTTCGGCGTTCGACTCCGCGCAAGGGGTATAACTAGAAGAGGATGATGGCATCGGATTCAGAGAGCAGTACATCTTTGCCTTCTGCTATCACTTTTGATGTGATGCTTAATGACTCTGCCAGCACCAAAACTCGGCAAGCTAAGTGTCCTGAAAGATTCCAGAAAGGCCAGACAAATACAGTGGTAGACACTGACATGACTGAGGAGAGAGCACGGAAAATGAAAGAAAAGCAGCTTAAAGCTCAAAGACGTAGAGAGGTAAAGAGTTTTGATACACTGCACACTTGATTTAAACCAGCCTCTTAATGATTACTTCCAATCTTTCTGGTAACTTACCCTGTAGGGTGATATATATTGCTGGTGAATGGGACATCCCCAAGTAAAGAACTGTGAGAAGAAAAACAAACTAATTATGAAAATCTCCATCGTAATTAAAGAGAGGGAGATGGAAAAAAACATGAATGTGTTTTTCTGTCTTTAGCTATTCTTGTTATCCATAACACATAATTGTTACTCCATAATATTCTTTCTGCAGGAGCAAGAAGCAGCAAGGCGTCTCCGGATTAACCAGCGACAAGAACAGTGTCGTCTCATGGCCTCTAAGATGGAGAAGTTGCTAGCCCAGGATGCCAAGAGGCAGGGGTTAGCTGGTACTGAGAACATTCGGCCAATGACTCGTAGGGAAGCTGGAGCAATGATTCAAAGTGTTCACAGAGACTTCCAACAGCTAGGAGCAGAACTCAGCAAAGATATGGGAACATAAAACCAAGAACGGATGTGAAGTCTTGAATTTCCACGTCTCGTAGTTTTAACTGCAGAAGTCTTCCTGCTGTGTTGGGACCAAGCAGAACCATTCAATACCAAAGTTTACAAAGAACGTTTGCCTGGTTCCAAAATTAAGGAAGAGATTTTAAAAAAGAATTTTGTGGGATGTGAGCATAGCCCTCAATAACTCATGTTGCCAAAGTTGTTGGTTTCCTTTGCCGTTTCTTTTTTATATTATAGTTGAACCTCGTTAATAAGAGCACTGTTGATACAAGATTTTGCTAATAACAAGGAAATTGTTAGGTCCCAATCCTTTGTTTTTCATTGATTTTATTCCTGATAATACAAGGTTCCTGTTACAACAATTTGCCAAGTCTGAAGGACCTCTTATTAGCGAGGTTCGACTGCATCTCAATTTTAAAGTTTTCTTTCTATTGCATATGTGCTGTAGTGTGTTTTCCAAGTCATTTATTTATCATTTAAAGTCGTCAGAATGTAGGATGAAATTCTCACTCAGTAAACTTGTTGCCTTCAACGTAAACAGTCAGAGTTGAAGATCCACGGCTGTGGATGAAACTTTATTTCTTCGAAAGAAAAGCCACTACTTTGGACTACTAAATATTGCAGTTTGTTCGAACTTTCTAACATGTACATGAACACAGAAAGATTCACAATGCTTTTGGAAATATTTAATTCAAAAGGACTTCTGAAACATTGCTAAATACATGTACATATGTGTACTGTATACTGAATGTTGAACACAGAGATGCGATTTAGCAAAATAAACGGAAATTGTTCGATGTCATTTCAGCGATGAATCTGGCGTGTTTTGCCACTGTGACAAGTGCTTTCACAGATTTTCTGGGCAGATATGAACAATAACAAATAACTTCAAGAACAAATGTAGAAAAACTACAAAGATAGTAACATTTAGACTGGCCAAAATATCACTAAGACTTAAGAACCTTCTTGGTTTCAAAATCCAGCAACAGAGTTTCACTGTGCTAAAAATGCATGTATTAAGCATCCGCTTGTTTCATTATTAACAACAGCTGAAGGGTGAATTGGTGGTAACAAAAAGACTTCTGCAGATTGTAAAGAAGTCTCTGGAAAACTCCTCATTACAAACTTTTGATTATAAGTTTAAGGTGTAAGAATTCCATACCCATCATATGTGATAAAACACATTTTGGGGTAAATTATTTACTCAAATAAATGTGTTTCAAATGAAATGCAGTTATGCAGAAGCAGCAGGACAGAATTCAATGTTTGATGAGACGTACCTGCAATTAAATATCTATGCCAATACAGGAATCTTCATTTCTTGCATTGAAACAAGCAGTTTTGAAATGTTACACTTTGGAATAAGTTCAAACTTTCTGACGACAAACATCCATAAACCAAGATAAACAGTTTTTTCTGGAAATACAAATATCTGTCAACTGGGAGGACATTTGCAACATCAGTTAAAGCAAAACATGCATTATATACTGGTAAATAAAGAACACAGGTTATTCGGCAAAATAAACAGAAATCCTTAAATATTATAATTATATGCAGGCTTGAAGCAAATCTGCAAAGTTTTTTCACTTTCTGAGTGCTAAACGAATGTCTGAGCCCACAGTAACAGATAACTCCAAAAACAAATACACACAAGCTACAAAGGCAAACTTTGGGACTGGCTTAAATTAACATAAATTAATATTTTAATATATAAATATCAATACAAAAATATAGATCAAATTTGCTTTGTTTCATGACGTTTATTTAAAGAGAACTTTTCTCTTCAGGTGTTAGGCTTTGCAGCCTCTTTAAACCAGTGTCTGTGGATTTTGTGAAGTTGACACTGTTTCTGTATTTTAAACTGTGAGGCCCTTGTGATCTGAGAAGTCTCTCCACAGGATCAGTTGTCTCTGGGTCATCGTAGATGGTTGAGATAATCACCGCTCGCTTGCCCTTTTTAGGTCTTGTGAAGGAATTGTCTTGGAACATATTGGAACTTTGATCAGGTAACAGTTGCTTCCCGTAATATCTACAACAGACAAAAAATGTCAACTGAAAGTTACCAAAATAAATTCATGAATATCTCAGACACTTTAATCTCATAAAATTGGACTTAAATTATTGATCATCTAAGCCAACATGAATTTCTGACTTATTTTAATTTTTTCATCCAAAAGGGAATTTATGAACAAAAATGAAAGTGTAATAGAATGGTATTAAACTAGTACATTGAAAACCTGATAGGGGTCTGGTAAAAGGCCAAGATGAATTTACTAAGTAATATAGAAGTAAAAAGAACTAAATTTATAACAGAATGGGGGAGGTCAGACATAAAGCCTAAGCTTGCACTGGGTCTGCCCCATGAAGGAGAAAGCCTCTCATGTACACAATTCTTAGGGTAAAAACATTAATAATAAAGAAGTGTGAAGGTCATCATGACTTAGGTTTAATAAATTAATACCTTGAGAATAAGCATTCTAATTCTCAGTTTACAACTCTAGTTACAACTTGGTCATTATTGCAGAAATATTGTGCCCTTAATTATCATTGTCATTAACTGCCACATTGAGTAGAAGTTTTTTATACCTTTTCCATGTTCCTTATGTAAAATGGAACATTTTGGGTGATCAATTGCACCGGTTCTGTTTAGCCTATTCTGTAATGTTTGCATATAAACAGGTTAAATAACAAAAAGCATCCACGTTTACTAGCTCTTTGATGCTTAGCGAGAATCGCTTCATCTGATCAACCACACTAAAAAACAAAGAATCCAAACAGATCTTAATTGAAAACAATGCAGACAGTGTAGCAAAGGTGAACTGTTTTCATTATGAAAGGTAGATATCGGGTATCTGCTTCATCTTGGAACCAGACATGGCATGTCCTTACACAGCAGTGACATCCTTTTAGTTAAAAGGGAAGTCACTGCTTGTAGCTCACAGGTTCATGGATACTCGACGTCAGACGTTCTGAGTGCATACAACCAATTTCTGTTGAAATGTCCAGTCTTTGCATCAGTACAAGGCATGTATTTGGAGCCAGTTGAAACTTTCCCACTAAGCCTATCTCTTCTCTACTGATGAGGGAAAGCTTCTAGTTAGACTGAGATAGAACCCTTACCCAAAACCTCTTTTGTCAAAGCTGTTCTGTCCTTCGTTGTGTAATGCTGTACTTATTCCTTTGTTTCCATCTTTTCCCAAGCCTTCACCTTCCATCCAACCCTGTGCCTCCATCATCTTCCTGCCAAAACCCTGAGAAAAAATGGTTTAGTGCTTTGTGCTGTTGGTAAAACTTAACAAAAGTTACTGTTTACACTGAACAAGCATCAATTTAAATTTCAGAGTGTAATTCTACTCAGTTTTTCAGCCTCTCGTTGCTTGTCGAAGACACTCTGCTTGTGTACAATATTCAACTTTGTGACGTTAGGTTATAGTGAAACTGTTACAACTCATAACCTGCAGTATTGCAGTCAAGACCTCTTAAGACCTACACAAGACCCCCCCCCCATCTGAATTCAAGTCACTAAACTATAATGAACAGCAACAAAAGCATTCCTTTGTGATTGTTCACCGTTACTTGTGACTAGTCTCATGTCTGGTCATGTGATGGTCTTAGCTACAACACTGGTCACTGTCAAATTAATAATATTTTAGATATATCAGAAGTTAAATACATGTATGTATGATAAGTTTGACATTTCAAAGGGACAGAATACTCCCCCACATGACACTGATTGTCAAGTATGACTTTTTTGAGTATGACATGGAAATTCTTACTTTGGTATGTTTCTCAAATGCTCCAATAGGTCGTGCTTGGTCCTCAGCAATTCTTTTCTCTGCTGCAACCTTTAATTTGGCTCTTCGCCTGTCAAGTTTCATTTGTCTTTTTGTTGCATTCCATGATGGCTTGAAGGCACTGACAATCTCGATGCCATCAAGCCTTCTCTGTTGCTCTCTCATCTGAAGGAAGTCTCGAGCATCTTTATCTCCTCCGGCTAAGGAATCAGGTGTATGTACATGTACATATAAACCTGGGCTCGACCGAAATCAATCTAAGATGGAAACACATGCACTTGCCTCTTCCTTCCAAGCAAAGATGAAAATCTTTTCTATCCACTCCTAACAAACTTTTAAAAACTGCTTTACCTTGGTGCTACCTGACATAGCTAACATTACACCAAATAATGTGAAAGGAACTACAGATTTATGCACTAAATAGAAGAGCTTGATGTGAAATGGGAGTTTGTACATTTTGTATAGAAAAAGGCTGCTTGTCTCCAATTGTTTTTGCTGTCGTCACAACAAGTGGGCAGGTGACTAAGTCTTGAAAGAATCAGCTGAGAAATTTTCCAAAGCGGTAACTGATTCCCACCCAGTCAGTAAATACAATGCACTCACCTGGATCATAGTAACCACTCATGTCAACATCCCAGTCGTCAGCAGTTTTCTCATCAAAATCTGTCAACCAAAAGTTTTATGGGAAAAAATTGAAGCAACTTCCTTGTTTTTTAATGAAATAATGTGAAGATTATTAAATTTTGGCATGTTACTGAAAACTCGGACTTGAATTATACGAGGTGTGATATAGCTGAGTTACCATTTGTTTTCTTCATTTCGACACAAAATTCCTTTGAACTAACTTTCGGCCCCAATTTTCCATTAACCTCCAAAACCTACCGCCTTCTTGCTTATCCCAGAATGCCGCATCAGTGTAAAAGACAAGACCACTGCTTCCTTTGTCCCATGTGACCTCCATCTCGCTCTCAAACAGACGCTCAGTTGTTCTCTCCTGATTGGTTACATCATTGTGTAAGGCTTCATATCGCTCCCATTCCTCACCTGAATCATTATCCTGAGGGAAATGGAAATTTCATCTTTTTTAAACCATGAAGGCCATTTCACATTTATGAAATTAGAAGTAGATTTATTAATGGTATAATTTTGATTTGAATTGTTATTGTTACAAAGTGCCTTGCTTAGGGACAGTACAGTCATCATAATGAAGACTGGGCCTGTCATTATTGCAGTACATGAAGATCATAACTTGCTATCCACTCTAGCTAGAGCTATCTCCTCATTTGCGAAGAAGAGACTGGCTGATGGGAGTGCAGTACACAGGGACCAAACATTTCAAGAGAAATCAGGTGCATATGCTCACTGCTCGGTGCACCCATTGCCAGGCATGCATGAAGCTGTACCCATGCACAGAGAGTTCTCACTATACAAATGTCACTGTTATACATGTATGTGACAACATGCCCTCCCTTGTTCCCGCATGAGGTGGAGTTGGGCAGTTACACAAACAAAAATTATCAATACAAAAGCATAACAGATACGCACCTCATCTGATTTGGGAGGTGAAATACTCTGATTGTTGTAGCTACTTTCATGTCTTGTTTTCTGCCTCTTTGTCTCGCTTGGCGAGGAACTTCTGTCTTTCCTTTTCCGCTTGTTTTTTTTCTTCTTTTTCTTCTTCTGCTTCATTTGACTTGAGACCAGAGTTTCTACCACAGTATCACTATAGTCCAATCCTACATTTCCATATCTTCTGTTGGACTGACTCTTGGGAAAGACAAGTCCCAGATGTTTGATGAGCCAAGGTGGAAATTGACACTCTTTGATCAGCTGACTATAGACTGAGGTGGGTGTACCAACATTTCCTTTGGGCATGATATCAGGTGGGTTGAGCTCAGGTAACTGACGTAGTATTGATTTTGGCATTGTAGTACTGATTGTTATAGGTGTGGGCCGTTCAGGCTTCCTTTTTGACTTTAAAAAGGTGTCCTTTTGGGGGGTAAACTGTGGCTCTGTAATTTAAAAAAAAGAAACTTTTTGAAAGGTTTGAATGAATAAAAACTCATATTAGTTAAATGGACATTTAATAATAAACAGGAATTCAATAAAAGAAATGCTGTTTCAGATGCTCATGACATTAAGATTTTACCAACATCACGGACCTTTTCCCAATTTCAACTTCCTTGACACTCATTTACAAACCAATCACTCAGTCAAGTCAGTTCAGTTGGTCAGTTGGTCAGTCAGTTCGGCAGTCAGTCAGTGAATAGCAACAAATACTGCAGAATGCAATCAAAGTATTCAATGCAAATGAGCCGATATTTTCCCTCCACTCCACGGGCAGAGTTTACATTTTCATTCAAAGGTGAATTATGAAATTTGAGAAATATAAAATCTGAAACATTCAGTGCAACATAATAAATTATATACACTACTCAAAAGAATTAAAGGAACAAGAAAACAGAATGTTTTTGTCATGGTCTATATGGGCTACCATCAGAACAAGAAGCATTAATTTTCACATAACTTTAATGCCTCTTGTTCTAATAGTAATAGTAGCCCATATAGACCATGACAAAAACATTCTGTTCACTTGTTCCTTTAATTCTTTTGAGTAGTGTATTATACAATACTCAGACATGTACATGTAGCAATCATATAGCATTGCTTGAAAGTCAAAATAATGACTGATTGGATGACGGGGTACTCCCAGAACTGTCGGGTCCAATGTCAGACCCCACAGTTCTGGGAGTACTGACAGGGTACGGGGGACAACTCAACAGTTTCCCAACCAAACTAGGGACAACTCGACCCTTGAGACACCTCAATCATCTATGCCTCAAATGGACAGACAACTCCACCAGTGAGATAAATTGCCTCTTAATGAGAGCATGTGCACTTCACAATCCCTTTGTCCACACTTTTTCTCCAAATTTGAAAAGCAAAAAAAGAAAAACAATTTCCTGCCGTGGGGAGGGGGCAATTCACTGTCTCCCAGACTGACAGACTAATGACTGATCATCTGTGCTTATGTACAACACTATCTGTGCACATCATGCCCAGCAAGCCACGTCACAAAGTAATGTGACATACACAAATTTGCCAAACACATCAATCTTTTATCTGTGTTAATACATGCACATGTAAATGCCTGCACTCCATCATGTTCATGCCTTGTGTGGTCAAGATTTCTTAATGGATAACTTGATAAACGATGCTGTTGTTCCACTGGTTGAGTTGTCCAAACAATTGAGCTGTCCCAAGTTGAGATGGTAAACACTCAACTGTACTGCCCGACATCCAATACACATCATCAATGGAACACTTTATCAAAACATGGATTGGCCTGCAATAGTCACCTTCTTTATCAGTGACATCATCTAGAACTGTTATCCTCGATATGTGACACAGTTCTGCCATCAGTGAACCTTTACGGTCCACCCAATTCTTCTTGCTGTACATCTGGAGGAACTTTTCCAAGTTGGATTTTGTCAGTCGAATGACACAGCATGACCGTTCATGTTGATTGCGTTTTGCGGCATTGGGATTCTTTCCTTTCTTTTTCTTACAGGCTCCAGCTATCGTTCGCATATTCTGGTCTCTAGTTCTGTCTACTGGATTTCCATCATGCCCTTGCCTTCCATGGGTTGTGACGCCATGGGGAGGCCCACATATGGCTGCACAAGGAACGCTGTTGGTTTCTTTTGGAGCTTCGATTTGGACCTCATTTTCAGTTAGATTCTGCAAAGGTCTATGTTTGAAATGAAAGCAGTGGAATCCACCAGCCTCAAGAAATTGCGAAAAGTAATTTCGAAGATCCCTGGAACGAAATACACTTGGAATATTCGTCACAGCGGCGAAGACGATTTCGTCGTCGACGTGAGAACTGGACGCAGCCATGTTTACATGTTATTTAACTGAACATCATCGAAGTTGCATTTCTCTTTTAAGTAAAATAAACTTTCAAAGTATGAAATTTCCTTAGCTTAATAACACATAAAAATATGCATACACAACATTGTTAATTAATTTTCAAAAGATTTTACATGTATATTTAACAAAAATTTGAAATATTGCGCGTTGACACTTACAGTTTCTATAAATACACGGCAGAGCCTAAACGAAAAAGCCAGCACGTGCTAAATCGGAGGACGTTGGACATTTTTACACGGTACCCTGCCAAGCTGAGGCCATTCGGTCATTTTTCCAAATCGCAGTAGGTACGACAGACATTTATGCCTTTTAACAGTGGTTTGGCTTGTTCTTTTGCGTAAGAGTTCCACGTAAAGAATAAAGTGAGTCTCATTCGGTTTGTGTGCAGGACTAGGGTGTGTAGGCCATATGGAGGTACACATACATTAGGGATGGTGTAGGTCTATGATGCAGGCTTACAAGTACAACTGTGGGGTCCACCCCGCTCCACGAACCGGAGCGAGGCGGATCGATGTCGTACCCCACATTTCTGGGGGTAGGCCTATAAAAACTCTTTCCCTTTCTGAGTATGCGATAAAGCTGAGATTGTTATGTCCCTAGTGGTCCCAACTGTGTTATTTTAGGACAGCGGCTGACTTACATGTAACTGTGTAACTGTGTTTGGAATTAGCATGTGTATAGGCACATGAATGATGTAGTAAGCAGTGTAAGCCATCAGGTTATGGTAACTGCGCTTTAATAAGTTGTGGCAATTTATTCACCTTGTATAAATTAGTAGCTGGTACTCATGCTGAATGCTTTCGCCAAACCACAGTTGCGTATGGGTAACGGTTCACCATGTGGCAAATGGCACAGCTGTATTTGGAACGTTTTTCAGTAGTTTGCCACATTATAAACATGATACTATGCGCACATGTGCTCAGTGATGCCAGTACCATGCCTGCAGCGTTTGATCCCCAACTTAAGTTGGGCATGAGAACATGTAACCGTATTCCAAGTAACCAGGACTCTACAAATCACCTCTTGTAACATTTGGACTTGTTGCTGACCATATCCAAATGCCGTAGTTACTCAGACTAGCCTGTGTCAGCAACATCAGGGTTGGACATTATAGACAAGCCCCCTGCACTGTATACATGCTGCTCTTCAAGGGATACAGCTGGTCAGGCAACATACATGTAGCTATACATGTATTTGGTATGTTTCGGTGTGATCAGTGATTGGTCAATTTTGTGGTACAGTCTGTCATCCCTCCTTGATCAACTGTACAGCTTTTCTTGCTAATATCCTTGACTGTATAAGCATGAGGACCCTATTTTGGCCAACGTGACTTCTGACAGGTGGCAAAATTGGGGACCAGTTTCAGCTACATAGACATTCCTGGCTGTGTTAATGAGAAAAGTTCAAAAATAGAAAATATGATGGATAGAGTAGTGCAATCAACGGATCCACAATCATACCCAACAGCTACACTGTACATGAAAATAATGAGACACCTATCACAGAAAGGCATCCGTCTGCCGTCTCTAACCTAATAATATTTTCTTTTATGTATGAACAGGAAGTAAATTCAAGCAAAATGCCACAAGGGAAAAAAAAAATGAAAATTCAAGTTCTGGGCAGGAAGAGTGCAAAGCATTCCCATATGAAAAAGAAGGCAACAGCTGTAAAGAAAGGTCAGAAAAGGATGACGATTTATTGATTGACAAATACAATGAAAGAAATTATGTGACATCATTGACTTTTCTCTCTGTGCAAAGGTCATCAGTTACACCATTCTCCATAGATCATATTCAGTGTTGGAGGTCTTGAGGCCAGCCTTTCAAAGCCTTGGCCTCAGCCTCGCTACCCAATGACTTGGTCTTTGCCTTGGCTTCGGAACTTTCTGGACTCAAAGAATCAGTCAAGGCTGGTTCGAGGGCACCCATTTTTAGTCAGTTTTCTCCGCTTCCCCAGAATTTTTATCATGACAAAGTACTTGCAACGTGCATGTGCCTGAATTATTTTAGTATACAAATACATGGTACGGTACCTAGACTCCCTAATGACGCGATGAAGCTAAATACATGTAGGGAACATTCTTATTTTCATTGAATGTTCCGTGAATTAGGCTGCATGTACTTATTGAATGTTTTGTAGTGGCAATCTAGCTGAATAATTTTCGCAATCTGGAACTAGAAAAATGACTCATAATTTTTGGAAGCACTCCTGATTTTTTCTTTCATTTCATGTTGAAAAATCGTTACATTCACTCACAAAATTATTTGGTTGCAGGACTTTTTTGGCAACTCTGCGACTATCTGTAAGCCGTCTTACAATATTTTTTTGGAATTAATAACCTGCATTTAAGCCTTTCTTCTTGTTTTTATAATTGAAAATACTGAGAAATTATTTTGTGGGGAATTTGTATGTATTAAGAGCTATTAAAGTTTTCATATTTTTCTTTTTTAGTGATGATGGATGACCGTACTCTTACTTTGTTTAAAGAAATATAAAAATTGAACTTTTCAACACCTGCCAAACACGAGTTCATTATGCCCATTCAGGTTTGTTTAGTAGTATTGTTTACATTGTTAACCTGAATGTAACTAATCAATGAAACACAGCACTTGGTTGTTTTCCGTGGACAAAATAATTGGGCATATTTGTGTAGTGTCATGGGCAACAGTTTTTTGTGGATCTAGATGAATCTTGTGTGCCAGCCAACAGTGCCAAAAGTAGTTATGTTATGCGTGTATGTGTAACAAGTGGCCTTGGCCTCCGCCTCGGAGACCGTGGCCTCAGACTCAAATGGCAAAGACGTGGCCTTGGCCTTGGAGATCCTGGCCTCAGACTCAGCCTTGGCCTTGAAGGTTGTGGACTTGACCCCAACACTGATCAGACTGTATTCATGTGTCATAATCATATAAATAATGATGTTTATGTATGATAGTATTCATCCCACTTACTGATAAGCTTATACTTTGATCTTTGTTTTAAATTAAGGCCGGTATATTGCTCCTAAGAAAGCTAAGGAAGTCAAGATGTCCAAATTGAAGAAGGTATGTATATGATGAGGAAGTTAACCCTAACCCCCTATGCCTTTTTACAAGGAACCATCCTGAATCCTCCGAAATCCTCCAATTGTCAACATGAAAAAATTGCATTCAGCCCAAATCCTCCAAAATTTCTTGAAAATGTCATTTGGAGGTGTGCCTGACTTCCCAAATCCTTCAAAATCTTCCGGCAATTCCAGTCATTACGTTGAGGCAGTGCGAATGGCATTCTTGAGCAGTGCGGTTGATGCAATAGAAATATTGGGCTGAATTTGTGTTTGACTAAGCACAAACAACATACATGTAAGGTCTAATCCATGACCTTTACGCAAGGCATCCTTCAAAATCAGCCATGCACTTTTGCCATACATCCTGAATCCTCCAGATTCTTCCACTTTGCAGAAAAGGATTATAGAGGATTTGGGAGGGTTAGGGTTGATGTATGCAACTGGTGGTGTAAGGAAGGAGAAACCTTGAAAGAAATGATTAGGGAGGGGCAGATGTTGGGGGAGTTGAATATTTAGGACAAGGCTTCACAGGATTTATACTTCACCCTCATTAGTTTAGGTTGAATGGTAAATTGTCCAAATTCTGGTGTTATATATAATATTACAGAGGAATGTATTTGATGATTTTTGGCTTCTTCAAACAAATTGCAACAAATCCAAGGCTGGTGAGTCAGCAAGTGTTATTTAAATGCTGTGTATCATATCAACTTCCTGGGAAGGTGAAAATAGAAGGGTACTACTACTCAGTAAAATGCACCATTTACAGTAAGTAGACTAAAACACCACACACTGTGACTCCACTGAACCCTTTTTAGAAAACTGCCAATTTTTATCAGGAATTTTAGAAACAGCTTTTTATTTATAAAGTTTTTATTTATATTTATGAACAGAATCTGCAGAAGGCAATTGATAGCAATAATGAGAAGGAAGTGGTTGCTATGGCAGCTGCAAGGGAACCAAGGCCTATGAAGGTGTTGAATCTTCCATCGCCAGATCTAGGAGGAAAAAAGAGTACCAAAAAGAAATGAACAGATGCCTCTCAGAACTGTAATTGATGCTGAATTTATTTATTAAACAGAAATCCAGAAGTAGGTGTGGAATGGAAGGAGAGGATCGAATTGTTTCATAGTACATATTTTAAAACATTTTCAGTTGTCGAATTCCATTTAACAGGTTCTGATAATTTTGTCAACTTCAGGTCCAAAGTGGATCTTAATGGACGAGATAAAGATGACTCTGAACATTATCAGAAGACAGTTTTTATTCTTCATAAATTCTAAACTGGCTTTTTATTAATAATGACATCTGTGCCATTTTTGTACAAAACTGTAATTATTTCATACTCTGACATCAAGGAGATGCAGTGCTTATTGCAGAATTAGTTGTTGGTTGATCTTAACAGAAATTCCTGTTTACTCAGATGTACAGGTTTAGAGATAAACATAAACATACAGTGTCTGTCAGTTGGTTGCAATTGAATTGGAATAACTTTCTTGTGCAGTATTTTACCGGATTCATCTCACAAACTGCAATTTACTGTGATAATGTGAACAATAATCCCCAAATCAAAGAATCATACAATTTGATTCCATTTTTTCCCATACCCTCATAGTTTCCTCAATTTTCCATAATTTAGCACATTTGTATAATTATGAAGTATCCAGACCATGATCATTTATATCATTGAAATTTTCGTGCTTCAGGCTCGGAGCATATCATTATCAGTTTGATTGGGGAGCGCTTGTTTCACATGGATCAAGATGTCCATCAGTGTTACTTGGTTGGTTCCCATAGAGTTGTGTGTAATTTCAAGCCACAGCCAAGTGATTTGTATACATAGATCAGATTTTCTGAAGTGGACACTGCCCTCTCTAGTCTAGTTGCAGATCACCCAGCGCTTCACATTAATTAGGAGAAACATCCGGGTGCCGACGACGACGCTTCAACGCCCTTAATTAGCAACTCCGTTGAAATCTAGAAATGACACGACAGAAAATTGTCTTGTATTGATTTTACGACGCTTTTAGCTTCGATCTGCGCACTTCTGCGTTTGAAAACGGGGCCGTATGTGTCGGCTTCAATTCTTAATACGATCAGACGATTGAAAGTAAGGAGTCAAGATACAAAATACATAAAGGTATGTTAAATTCAGACTTTTCAAGCTGCAAATATTTGTGGAAAAGTCTTTCAGGATGATTCTACACGTAAAATTAATAGAAAAAATAACGGCAATTTACCGCGAATTGACTACCTGCGATGGTCGTGTATCTGCACATGCAGTGGGCGTGGTTTAAACTGAAGTGGCGCCCACACTTACGAACCAGATACTGCATGTACTGTGTCGACTCCGCGGGCGCGCGCGAAGAAGTTCAACACAGAGAGCTTCAGTTTTAATGCAGACATGCGCAGACAGCGCTCGTGAAATCCCTCTTTCCAGCACGGCACCGTACTAGTGACGGGATAAACGATCATACGGCGCATTCGCAACCGAAAGAGTTATAAGAGCTCGTACAGACGGCTGCAGGTGGCTGTTTATTGTGAGTGCAAAATATGAATTAGTAGCAATCGACCTTACTCCTTGATGAATATACGTATAAGTTACTCCAGGGAGTGTCTTATCGTAGAATAATATGACGACTGTGATGCGATCATGAGTTACTCGTGATGTGGTCTGTGAGGCTCGGCAGATCACTTTTCTCTTCGGGTTCAGGACAGCTGAGATTCGCTGGTAACGATAGCAATTTGACGTTTCCAGCTACTGCCATTGAGGATGAAGATGATACAACTTGGGGGTTCTTTCCAGAAGAGGAGGTTAGTCTTCAAATTCGTTGGCCTATCGGGCTGCTTCTCACCTCCCTCACAGTTTTCATTGCACTGGGGAACACCCTGGTAGTCCTGGCCGTACTCCTTGAGCGTCAACTGAGAACCTTTGAGAACTTCTTCTTTGTCTCTCTGGCTATCGCAGATCTGTCCATTGCCCTATTCGTCTTGCCTCTAACTCTGAGTGTTGAGTTGTCAGACGGCAAATGGCACTTCGGTCGTGCTGCTTGCGATTTCTTCATCTTCGTGGACGTGTCGTGTTGCACTGCTTCAATTCTCCATCTCTGCACAATTGGGCTCAACCGTTTCTGGTCTATTTCATCCCCACTAAAATATACCACTAAACAGACCAACAGACGAGCTTTCCTCACCATCATATCAATATGGCTTCTCTCCTTCGTCGTTGCATCACCTCCAATATTCGGCTGGCCGCAACGATCCAAAAAAATCACCAATCAGTGCACCTACGATGAAGACCGGCTTTACGTTGTCTGCTCAGCACTAGGATCTTTCTACATTCCCCTCGTTGTCATGGTAATTGTGTACTTTAGAATTTATCGTCTGTCTAAAAAAGGCGCACAGTTCAGAAGATCGCAGGGCCGGGAGAATGATGTTTCAACGAGGCGTTGGCGTAGGCATGTCACCGAGAGTAACCAGCGCTCCCGTGGTTTTGTTGACGGTGCTGCCATGCATGCTGTCAGGCGTCCTGACCGGGCCAACTCCAGTGAGCTAGCCAAATCTCCTACAGCCAAGCCTCAGCCGCAGAATGCTAAGAAGGGGCCGAAATTCTGGTCCATTGTTTACCGAGCGGCATCGAAGGGGACATCAAAGGAATCAAGAATGCGATTTGTTGAGGTCAAAACGGCAAAGACATTAGGTAAGAGAATGACCTCTCAAAGATGTGCTTCACGGCATTATAAATAAGCTGGGGAAAACTGGGCTGATCAAAACAAGTCCAAACGCTACCACGTCAATTGCCTGCATGTGGGAATCAGGTTTGCACAGCTTCCATTATCCACTGAAATTATCTCAGGAACAGTAGCAGAATACGTAAATATTTAAAAGGCATTGGATTTTATGAACTCAATACAAACGGCGGCTCTGGACATGTGAACGAATTAAAGGCTTGAGATTTCCTATAAGACGATAGGGCCAGGTACTTTCTTGAGCGATTGAGAGGAAGCGCGTCTTCCATTATTGAGCCAAACAGATCCTCAAAAAAAAAAAATTAATGTAGCTCGTGAATTTAGATAACTGGTGTGACTCTCTTGGAAAGGGGTAGAAATTGGTCAAATTCAATAGCAATTCAATTGTATATCTTTAATAGGGTCATTCATAATTCGCACACGCAGCGAGAATGTTTTACCATTCTCTTATTAGCGGACCAACCGCATGCGGCAGTATCATTACAGTGTTCCTGTGAGGCCGAGAAAACAGTATCATAAAAGAAATAAACTAGAGCAGTTTTACCATGGGTGGAAATCCGGGGGTTGGGGTGGGGAATGTATCCCCCGACTTTTTGACCGGGGGGGGGTTACCAATATAATTATCACCCCCCTCTTTCAAGTTACTGACTATGCGCACCCTTAATTAAATAATGATCAGCCTGCACCACCGACTCCGCACTTGCCGGCGTTACAATCTCACCTGGAATGGAGGCCGACTTAAACCTAAATCATCCCCCAACACGTGACAAGAAATCTCCGCCCATGGCTTTTGCAGCTATCATCCAATAGACACGCAGCCTGGCTTGCTTGGAAAACAATGAAATCTTTTATTACAAAAGAAAGGGTGGATCATAATAATTGGTTTCTGCGTCTTTAATCCATATGAAAGGAAATGGTTATTTGTAACCTACAGGTTTACGACCCTATTCGCCGCCCTTAGGGGGCAGGAAAGCAGATGGTCACTTTTCGGCAACCCACTTATACAATCTATTTTACCGGTATCAAACAAGCATGAAAGTAGAATTCGCGGTTATCAAAATGTTCGACCCACTCTTCTGCCTGCCCGAAAGAAGAAAAGCAGATGGCCACTTTCTTGCAGCCTTAAGTTGTCAAAACGTTCGATCAACTTCTCTGCTTTTTGACGTGCAAAAAGTAGATGGCCACTTTTAGCCGCCCGCAAATACAGGAATAGTAAAATCTGCTTTTGCGGTAGCAGAAAAGTAGAATAATGCCTTGCAGCAAAATGGTCATTCTTCTTTTAAGGTATAGCAGAAAAGTAAACCAAAAATTGCATACGTAAAATCTGCTGCTCTAGTATTCTGATCTAATAGCAAAGCAGATGAGCACTTTTTGTCCTCCATACATATCTGTCATGAAGTTATTACAGAAGAGGCTGTTTGCGATTCTTGTATTCAGTGGAGTTTAAACCGTTGATATTCACAATGATGAACAGCATGTATCACTGGCAGGATACCAGTGAGGGTGCACGTATTCCCCAGCAGATGTTCGTTCCCCAGGTACTCCTTGATATGTCAACTGAAATGAACTAAAATTATACCAAAAATAGCAGTTGATTAATGTCTACCCCCCGAAAAATCATGTGCATTCCCTAGGGTCCCCCGAATGTTTCACCCTTGCTAAGCAAATAATATTCAATTCATCTTAAATCTGGAGCAGATCGGCAAATGTAGTGTCAATTTGAGTTACACCCTAAAAGTTTGGACTTTGAAATCGCACAAATTTTTAAAGACGGTTGTGTTGTGCTATTATTTCTTTTATGGTGGTGCATTCCTTGGTTACGAATTTCACTACAGAATGACGTATTATATCTTGAATATTCAGCATTGTGCCACGCGGCATGCTAGCTACTGGTACAGCTCACACGACCAACCAACACTTTCGACTCCGTAGATTTGTTGTCAGTCTCTGGTATTAACGACGAGGCAATGAATCTAAGACCGTTAGCAAATAAACTCACCAATACTTGAAAAGGTTATGTGCGACTGTTCAAATAACGCAGACTGTGTAAGTAACAATTATTTTGCCTTGCTGACAAGGAAAATTAAGGAAGCGTATATGGAACATGTCTAAAAAGAAATTGTCGCAAGGACATATCACTATTTTTCCGAGGCGAATTACTATTAATTTTGCCCACATAGACTTCACCTAAGTGGATAATATTTCGTAATTTCGACTGGTAGTCCGCAGAGGCGAATCAATGTTGCATATTTTTAATCATGTCCTAAATACGCTGCTGTAGAAATTAGACAAGTCAATGTAAGGCAGTGAGAAAATTCCAAGTATCTGTAATTGGTTTTTGTACAGAGCGGTTGTCAGGGGAGCACACACAAGATAACTTGGTATGTCATCAATGATTAACCTGGGTTTGATTTCATCCAAAGTTCCGCCTCATATTTTTTTCCACTGTCTCCTTGCAATCATCCTCCTGATGGGCAGGAAAGATGTTTAATTATTAAAGATATTTAATGGGCATAGTTTGTGTTGTATATAGAGTGGAGCCAGACACGACGCAAGAAACTAAATTACTCTCCTTGCAGGGGCGGATTCAGGAATTTTTCCAGGGGGAGGGTCAGGCTGATCATTTTTTTGTGTTTCATTTTTTGCAGACAAGTGGACCGAAAATGAAACATTACATGACATAGACCTACATTGTTTACAAAAGTATTAGTGCACTTACCTTTGCTTTTTTTTTATTGTTTCCCCACCCCCCCCTCCAGGGGATTCGACCCCTAAATCCACTGGATGCGCGACTGCCTTGAATTTCAGGCTTCATTGCACAAAAGACATGTCAAGCAACAGGAAGCCGCCGTGTCTGCATGTGTGATCGATTAGTTGCTTCTTCAGTCAGTAGATGAGTTAGGTACCAAACAAGGCAGACGCACGAGAATGCATCAGACGCTAATAGTCAACCCAACCATTGATGAAAAAATTTCCTAAATGTCAATGTCGTCTACAGCACCTTGCATAGCAGTAGATAACTTAATTAATACACGTCCTGAAAATAAGCGTGAGCTTTGATTTAATCAGTTTGTGATTACAAACCTCTGTGAATGGTTCTTAGATGCAAAGTGGCTCCAGTGACGTGAGCCCGGGGATTTTGCCCATCTGTGGGAACTCTTGCCCTGACCAGTTGCCTCTTCCCTTTAAGAAGAGACTGGCTTACATAGCTAATGGCGGGCAAGGAAGACCAACTAAGAACAAAGCCATATCTCCACAAAGATACAAATTTCGGAAAGGGTGTGCCCTCTCTCCCGGGAACTCTTGCCATCTTCTATACTCCCTCCTCCGAGAGCCTGGCTACGCCGCTTAGAGACTCTTTTAGTAACAGAGTGAGGCATCTCATTTACATGTAATTTATTTGGCTACAGAAATCTACACACAAAGTTTGAGTGCACATAAACTGAGAAAATATTAATATCAGAAAGGAAGGTCTTAATCGAACACACATTCGTAACAAATGAGGCATGAGTCGAAGTGTGTTGCTAATTTCAACCCTATAGCAGTTGAATACATGTAGGCTGTAGGCCTTATATTGAGAACACACACCAAACACAAAACGATATCCTCCTTTATATACCGAATTATGAAAATGGCTGCTGACGTGGATTTAAAAGACTCCTGTGTGCAATGGCGAAGAAAAATGGACAGGAAAACTGTGGAAACAACATATATCGAACGAGAACCAGTCCCCTATAGTCCTATATAATTATACCCTCACTCAGTTCAAACAACAATGCGGTAAATATTATCCAAGATCAACAAGCTTATGAAAAGGAACTGGAGGTGCTTACACTTACCAATTCATGAAAAGAATTGACGTCATGGGAAATGTAACACCAACCTTGTGGTAAAGTACAATTATATAAATTGCGTTGTTTTGATCAACTTGTAGCAGATCTTTATGCGTAGGATATACATGTGTGTTACGGAGTTAAACTGTCAATGACGTAATCAAGCATTATTCAAACATTTTAACCGTGTGCAATATGGACTCAAAAACATCAATTAATTAATTTCCATGTATAATAATATCATTACAGTAAATCGTCTTTTTTGTGTTAACACTTAAATCTTAGGGGACTGGTGTTTTGTTTTGATGTAGCAACCCACGTAGTGCAGCTCAAACTATTCCGTGCGGGCGTTTTGACCCATGGGAAATTGAGTTTTCTTGGCAATTTTCGAATTTTGAAGAACTTAAAGTTCCTATTCCTCAGTATGCTCCGCTAGTTAAATGCTGCTCAGAGAGAGTTGTGTAAGCAACAGAGTGAATGGTTGGGTGAACTCAGTGTTGTAACATTTGTCTTTTGTCTCATTAGTCGTAAATAAAATATGTGTTTGAAACGAGAGTATATCACAGTGGATATAGGATGAGCTAAGCAGTTACATTAACAGTTATGTCAGATTGTAGTCACACGATATTCTTTTAACTAACCATTCGCTCAATTTCTGCCACTAGCTAAACGAAACTCGATGCCTACGTGCAACTCGGTGCGGATTGTCTTTTAAATTTGAAAGACCAAAATATGAATGCCACTCATGAATTTCACGACGTTAATTAGCGACTGACCGACAGGCTACATGCACAAGCCGTTATAGGAGTCGACTTGCTCCTTTTTAACTTTGCTGTGATTTGGAGCTGTCTTCAAACGTCTTTGCAAAGATATCTTTTACGTGTGTTGCTCGTACAAATGTAAAGATGGCGGTGACATATTTCATTTAGACATTCTCCTGGAGAAGGAAACAAAATGAACTGGATAATGCTTTGATTTCAATGTGGAATGAAAGCTTAAATCAGGAGATTCTTAATCATCGAAACGTATGGTCACTTGCCACACCCATAATAAAAAATCAACAAAAAGCTGAAATATGTTTGTATATAGAATTTGACTGCTGACATTTTTAAAACAGATAAAAACTGTTCCAACATGGCCCGTTTCAAACGTCGCGCTAGTGCCGTGCCGAATACAAAAAATCAAGCTGAAACGTGTTCGACACGGCATAAGCACGACATTTTGAAGCGGGCCTTAACCGTAAGCCATGATTTCTTTGATGACACATGGGGCGAAGTAATTGTTTTCTTACAACCAAACCTGATGAACAAAGACAGGTTTCTTCATTAACAGCAAAGCCTTCTGGAATTGATTTCCCAAAGTGTTCATACCAGCCAAAGGTCTATTTTAACCGAAAATGTTTTCAATAATTACAATGTAATCGCCTGGGAATATTGCACCACATGTATCACTAAACAATCCTTTGAGCCCGAGGAATTCATCCATGTTTCTCAGTTTCATGGCATTCTTTGATTTCTACCCGTATATAGGTCTCATCATGTCCGTCTTTGTAGTATGCTGGTTACCTTTCTTCCTTCTCTACGTCATCAAACCATTCTGTCCCAGCTGCCACATTCCTGTCACTTTGGACCGATCTGCTCTCTGGCTGGGCTATGCTAACAGTCTGTTTAACCCAATCATCTACATCTGCTGTAAACCTCTCTTCAGACAAACCTTCAAGAAGATTTTACTCCTTAAATGTTGCAAGTAAGTCAAGGCTTTGTAAACAAGTGGAAATTACAATAATTCTACTTCTCAAATTAGACAATGCATTACTAAGTGAAATCTTGAACAATGCAAAATAATTCCTGTTGAATCTTACACTGCAGCAAGAAAATAATATCGGTACAGCGTGTAAAAAACAAAACCCCAACCCCCCCCGAAACCCAACAGTAACATTTTTTTCTCCCAAATAATCGCCAGAAATGGTTGTTTGGGTATAAATGAAACGTAATAGTTACATCTAGCATAATGCTTTATTGCTGAGGAACATCCTGCATGGTGGTACAGTGCTATTGGTACCGACTCTCAATGCGACATTTGATTCATCCATAGTCTCAGAATTTAAATAGCACACCTGTCACGTTGTATCCATGTCAGCGTTACATCGATTTTAGTCACAAATGTGACTGTATTCATGTTTGTCTAATTTTCTTCAAAGGAACTTGAGTAAGGGAATGACACATGATTCAGTCATTTTATAGAAATTCCAACCTCTCACTTTTGGGTGCGCTTGTAATGCAGAACATGGCCGGCCACGGGGGCTGTTGATAGTGCGTGCATGGGAAGTCATTATTTTGGGCAATCCGGAAACAAAATGCGTTCTGTTCCCACGACGCGCATTGCGCGGGGCTCCATGGAAACGCTGATGAAGACCGACAGAAATAAGTCCCAATGGAGTTTGAAGGCTTCTGTTATCGGGCCAATCGGCACTCGACTTCATTACATCAATTCTCGGCTCTCTCTGATGCGCCTTGATCTTGTCAATATTGGCAATCCAACACGGCTAATTCTGGTAGCATCCGCCGAACAACACGCAGTATTTGGTTTGACGAAATGTGTTCTTGGTCCTTGGAGTGGAAAACGTCATTATCGCTGAGTTTATGAAAGGACATGGATGGAAGGGAAAGGATTGACGACACGAAGGGGCTGCGGCTAACGACCAAAAAACTGGATATTAATGAAATCAATCTCAATAATTCGCGTCTGGAATTCCAACCGTAGTGAATGGCCAAAAATGGTTTATAAAGTTTAACTGACCTACACACTCTGCATACATCGCTTTAAAAAGTTTGGAAATAGGGATACCTGCGTCAAAACTAAGACAACAAAATTATTAATAGTGGTTGTTCCATCTCTTATAGCAGCTGAAGCCAAATTGCAAAGAGGACTGGAATTATTTATGTTTAAAAATTAAAAACCACTTTAGTTGTCATACTTAAATTCAGATGAGAAGAGAAACAAACTCAAATAAGAAAACAACAAACAAAAAAACCTTCAATTATCTCATGTTTTATAACATCTCACTCCTTATCACTACTACAGCCTGATGGGACGATACACATTACACGTGGAGTGCTGTCCGTCAACCCGTCCCAGATTTCATCACATTCAACGAAGACATCACATCACTGATAAGGAATCGTCATTTTCCTGTCGAATGGAATACGGGCATTTGAGTGTCAACGTTCCCCCTGATATTTTACATATCGAAGAGAGGTGAGTCAGTATGTTGATGCGTAATGAAGGCTGACCTTCGATATTATGCAGTAAAGAAAAGTACACATGATAAAGAAGAGCTTGGCCTCTGTTGTTGAAATGCAGCAATGGCCCGTGCAGACACAACTTCGGAACGGTTGAAGTGTGTCCTTACATCTGTATGGATATCCACTTGAAGATCCAGAGCGCTAAAAGACCGGTACAGTCTTGTATATTGTAGCATGGCCAACTGAGGTTAAATATGACTTCTTTTATCTTCTCAAAACAGGTCTCACTCTGTGAGGTCAAACAAAAGGAAGCGATCCTTGGACCAGCTCAGCTGGACTTCATCGTGCGTTGGTAAATATTACAATGGGTCCAGCAGCAGTCCTGCATCAGTGGATTGGACCTGTTTGGGTCACAATGTCAAACGAGTTCCCAATTCGTGCGTCTCAGACATACCTCAAGTTGTCGTGAGAAATGGAGACGATCATCAACCACACCAAACCTTCAGTGGGATAACACACTCACAATCCACTAATCTGAGGAGTTTTAGTAACATAAGCTTGGTGCCAGACACAGTGGAGAGTAAGGAAGACAGGGAAAGCAGGGCCAAACATCGGCCCAAAATGCGGACTGATCTCATCTTAAACTCAGATATTTCTCCGCGGGTGCGCGTTTTGAACCGACGATGCACGTGGTCTGAGCCAGCAAGGTGGACACAGCAAAAAAGTAGCTCGCTGTACCAACTGAAGAAAGTGACAGATATATTTAACCATCTTTAAAGCATATTTGGCTGCCTCTAGTGTGGCAAATAGAATGACACTCATTTTGACTTTAAAAGAAAAACCTCATTTGTTTTGCAGGTTTGAAGAAAATGACAGGAGCTGTTTAGACTAAGCTGGAAAATGTTGATTGGGGCTTGAATGTTATTTTACTGTGATTCTATGAATCTATATTTTCACAAGAGGAGATTCCAAAGTTAAAAACCGCTTTTCTGTAGAGCACTGCAAGTTACAGACAATCATAGCTATTGTCCGAGTTAAATCTAGACAAATTAAAACAATAATTTTTCATTCACTTTTCACTGAACAACTTAGGTTACATAAAAATGCTTAGCGTAAAACGAACTACAAAACAAAGGTGGACTTATTCCTAAGGCTGTACAGACTTGGGTTGCTCAACCTTCCTAGATCGAACCAGCCCTGTTGCCAGTTTCAAGCATTAGATGGGGCCACAGCACTAACTAGGGGGAAAATCACGAACAAATTAATACAGAACTTCGATGCATATGGTTTTGCCGATAGTGGAGTCAGCTGCTCACAAAAGGATCGGTCTCCGCCCCCCCCCCCAGCGACGGGCCTTGATCGAAATGTTTGGTAATTGAAAAACTTTATTCATCAAACTGCATCATATTAAACTTGTGAAAAAATGTACTGAACTGTACTGTACTGTGACTGCGTGAAAGTCACAGATTCGTATTGTGAAATTCAGCTTTGCCATTTCTAACGAAAAAGAATAATTGTATCTTGTCCATATTCGTCTTAATTGAGTCACAGTTTATACAAACCACCCGTACATCAATTTAAAGGAATGTCTTATCCTGAATCAGTCTGAACTTTTAACTTGTACAGCACTTCGAAGAAACGCAACCATAAATTCATGTGACGAGCGCTTTTCTGACAAAGTGCATCCACTCCTCGACTGTTGGGGATATATTTTGCAACAAGGCTAAGCTTTATATAATGGGTATTGCCCTCACCCGACGTATACATTAATAAACAACGCATGCTCAGTGCCTGTCCGAAAAAAGTCACAAGCCTACTCGGGTGGGACTCGAACCCAAGACCTCCTGCTTGTGACTTTTTTTCGCAGGCTCTCGGACAGGCACTGAGCATGCAGTGTTTATTAGTGTATACGTTGGGTGAGGGCGAAACCCGTTATATAAATTAACATCTCCCCAACGCAAAAAAATACATCTTGAAAAAAGGCCTAGCTTAGATTAAACTGTGTAAGTGAAACTGCATTTTCAGTTGATGTCTTTCTCCATTTACGATGGACAAAAAGTTTTGTTTGTTCTTGTACCTTCTCTCGACTGGATGAGGAGGATCCCCTTTTGTTTTGGTCCCTAGAAAACGGATTCTGTAATCTACCCTACCTCGGTGCTTGCATGGTCTACAAAAAACTAACATTTTGAGAAAACCGCGCTGTGTCCAAAAATTAATTAGTTAGGTGTAGTGTTCGATGCTACTGTCAGGCATTTCGACTTTGACAAAAAGGAGGAAATTTGAATCTTTACAAGACTACAAAGAAGTGAAAAACGACGTAATCAGCAGATCCAAGGAAAAGTTGCATGCCTGCACCGTAAGCCAGAGCTTTTTCCAGCATGAAGATTTTTGACTGACTTTATTATTTGGTGTCCCAAACGCGCGCACGACGTCACTTTAAATCTCAAAAAGAACTGTGAATGAAAAAAGTGGCGTACCACTATCTAGAGGCGTACCGTGACGTCGACTATGACATCACACTGATCCATCCTCAACTTTTCAGGTACAGTGAGACTGCTTGAATCTGTTTACCTTCAGTAAATAACCACGTGGAGTCATGCATTCATTTTTCATTACGAACATAACACTGGGTATTTACCAAAGATGTAGCACCCACATGATCAGTTTGTTTGGCATAGATGCGTTCGTGGCAAATCGAGAAATCGGATTGAGGGCGTTAATCTTTGGGGCTATATTTCACACTTGCCAATTTAATGCCTCTTTAAGATAAACTTAGGGGCTTTTCTTTTCCCTATACATGGCACGTTCATCCTGTTATTTTCCTGAAATAATGCTTGTACGTCTACATGTTAATAACAATGCTACTCTCAAGATCCATTAGTTGTGTTGTTTTTCACCTTCAGATATTTCAAGACAGGAACTTCTTGTGTACTTGTAGCATTCTAACACACAGTAACAGTCTCTCAGTGACGCAGGTCTGCAAATGTAGGCCCTATTCGGTGTAGACACAGATACATTGAAGTAGCGGACGGGTGATACAGTTACATGTAATTCACGTATGCGCCTCAAATTGTTAATGTATCGACAAGTATCCGTGTGTTAAAGGGTGCAATCTATGAAAAGCACCAAAGCTGCAACTTAAAGATACATGTACAATGAATTCTACAGCTGACAAGTCGTCGTCAACCCATGCTTAAACCTCTAATTCATGCTTCATTGTTTTAATTACTATTCCCAACCACACGTGCAGAATGAGCACTGCTGGGCATTATCTGTCCCGTTTCACAGTCAAAGTCTTCTGTTTACAGCCTTTGCCACGTTCATCCAGACGCAACGTGTGAACTCAGAGCATTCTGGAGATGACTGAACTCTGTATGTCTCCGGTCATTCCAGCAAGTTATGCAGGTGTCCTTACAAGGCCAAGTGAGGCGCAAAATCAATGTTTTACAAAAGATATTACACAGGTAAACACAGATTTATACATGATACAAAAAAAAAGTTTCATTTAATGCTGGTGACAATACACTCGAACAGCGTGCCCTCTCTGAAAGAGGACATTTGAGTGAAAATCACTGATGTGCAATTACTGTGGAAATCTAATAAACACATGGTTATGTTTTTTCCCCTTAGGACATGTAGGAAAGAGGTATGGAATTAATTCTCTGGTAGGTAACCAATTCTAAGAAGCTTTCAAGTCACTTTGAAAAAAATTTCTTTTCACTATTCCAAAATTTGATTTTAGCTCACAAACGTCTCTTAAAATATATTTGAGAAAAGGAAAAAGAATACAGGCCGTTCTTATTCCAAAAAAAGGCACGAAACACAGCTTCAAAGTTTTAAAGCTACATTTTCCATCAGACCAGCCTCTGCCTCTGCCTCAACTACATGTACATCTTTAAAGACAGCTCTTGCTGTGACTTTTGAAATAAATTTAACAAATGATACTCACAGACAGTGAAAACTAAAATAAGAAATGCAATCAACAGACAGTTTAAAGAATAAATGTTGTGCTATTAAAACCCTTAAGCATGTTCTCAAGCTTATTGTCCTGTAACTCCAAATTCTCAATATAGGGAAATGATAAAGAATAACTTAATAACTTAAAGAGATAATTGAACATGTCACTGATCAATGGCACCATCAAAGACCAGTTTTGTGTTGCAGATATGTGCAATAAAAGTCTAATAAAAACTCAACATTAGAGGAAAGTTACTTCATAATGTTCATTTTGGTTGATCTTGAATGCTGAAGAACTCCAACACTAGAACCAATCCCCACTTGAAATCCCTCAAGATGCTAAGATGGTCTATGACTCCAAGACTCGTCTTAGCACTTTCAGCATTAATGAGTAGGAAGAAGGCTAGCCAGGTTCCTTCTATGAAGTTTGTCCATATTACAGACAAGTCTATTCACCTGTACTCTCCAAACCACTTGTAATCATACGGTCCAAGACGGGTAGAGATCCCCAGATAATTACCCCGAGCAATCTTTTCAAATGTCCAGGGATTGGCATTGTTCTTTATCTTCTCTTGATGAGCCCATTCTTTGGCTTTCATACTCTGTGCCGTGACAACCTCAGCACGGAATGGAAGCTTCTTGGCTACTTGTACAAGGACTGCTCTGACTTCCTGGAATTCTACCTTACCGCCTACTTCCAAGATCATTCGATTAGCTTTGACAGGGGTGACATAGTGATCCACGTTACCTTAGGTAGGATGGAGAAAAAAAAACATAGTGAAGTCCAAAAAACCACAACCAATAATGACATCTTATAGCAACAAAAAAGAACCTCAAAGGAATTAGACCAATTGAAAGGATACTTGTATTTGGAATGTAAGAGTGGGCAAACACATAGAACTCAAAAACTGAGGCTAGAGACAAGATTTGCTTATCAGATACTCTCATCAGAACATCTTTTCGATGTTCTTTAAACCTACATGTACGTGTAAGCAAGCTCTGATAATATAGGAAGGACCAGAAGGAGTTTGAACTACCCGGGCTATAACATCTGGCCAATTACCGCTTTCTGGCATACGTGGTACGTCCATAGCCAGAGTGCAGCGCACGCCTGCCACTCACCACCTGTTTTGCAACCATAAGCCCTCTTTGTACCCTAAGATCGTCGCCGCTTTTTTTTGTTGGTGATCTGCATCCCTAAAACGTTGTGTACTGCACTATAGAAAGTTGAATATTCATGCCATCATTGGTGCTTGATATGATCCGACAACAACATCAAATTTAGTGCTTGCGTAGTTGCTTTTACTAGGCTGTGTGCCCGAAGTGTTCATGTGCAGTTGTTGCCCTTATCAAACGCTTTCTTCGGGCCTTCTTTTTAGAATAAATAGCCAAGCTGTTTGTAAGATTTTGTGTTATGTTGGAATAATTTTTATTATGGCATTTGTAAAAAGGCGTATTTTATGAGATTTCACGATCACTCCCTGTGATGAAATAGCGCATTTTGTTCCGAATGAACTGAGCTTTCCAGAAGTAGCAAAGATTTTGATGGCCAGTCTTAGCCAAATTCGTACCTAGTCTTTGAACACTAATGTATTGGACGGAGGAGACTAGAATTACAAACTTTGCATGGATAATGAAACAGTGTGTCAAAATTTTAAAAGTTTATTTATGATGGCAAAAGTAGGTCTAATATCAGGAATTTTTCTCTTTCTATTTCCTGGTCACATCAATGGTTTGTATTTAATTGCAAGCAAAAAACTACAAGTATTGCCAGGGTATTACTGGCCCCACTTGTCCAGTTAAGATGCAGGCAGCAAGAAGGCATTTTTGGAATGTTTTCTATTATTCGTC